GAGATTTGCCTTAAGCACTGGATCTCTCTCTGGTCAAAGACGGTTGGGGAAGGTTCCCTTCCCTGATCCTAGTGAACCAAGTTCACCTCTCACTGCTGCCCCAACCCTTTCCCCTTGTCCCTGGCCAACTCTTGTCCCTGCCTACCTCTCTGTTGTCCCGTGTTCTTGGTACTGGGAGGTTGTTTTGTTCTAGAACTGCTGCCCACTCCTCCCAATGTGCCAGCCTGAGTCAAGATGTCTGGGTTCTTGGTGATTCTCCTCCCTGCCCGGGTCCTTCATAAACAGCCCCTCCAGCCCCCTTTCACAACAGACACACACAACTGGGTATGCACAGATGGCTCCATTCCCTCTTGGGTGGGGGTGCCCAAGCTCCTCCTAGGACCTGCCACTATCCCACACCTACCATCACTATCTATCCCCTGCCCAGCAGGACCTAGGAACTTCTTTTCCACAAGGCAACACAGCCTGTTCCTGTGGCCGGGTGCAGGGTGCAGGAGCATCTGATGGGAGGGCAGCTTTCTGCACTAAGCTTCGGTTGCTGGAGGTGCACCAAGGCGGTGGCCTCTGTTCCCACGTGTTACCTGGAGAGGAAGCAAAGGGAAGAAGCAAGGACTGGACAAAGGCGCCTCTCCCATCCTGACGCCAGCCTGGTGTAGCCCCAGCAGCTCAGCCTTCCTGGCCTGCTGAGCCCAGTGACTCTCACACACTCACTCAGGCATTCCCTGAGCCCCTGTGTGTCTGGCGCTCCTTCTGTGACAAGCAGAGTGCTGTGTCCTGAGTGCCTACTATGTGTGGGTATCTTGCAGTCATGAGCTACAGCCCTGAAAGCCGGGCATGGTGGTGCAGCTAATGGACTGAGGGCACAAGCAGGGTCCAAACTCCCAGGATTAGCTTGACCCCAAAAAACATTGCTAAGCAAGACCTGGCCACGCTCTCAAGGGTGGGCAGAATTGCTCTCCTGGCTGGTGGACAGTAAGAAGTGGCCTGAGCCACAGGTGGGGCCACTAAAGTTCATGACTTTAGGAACTTAACTGTTCTCTTCCCACAGGACAAAGACAATTCTGGTGCCACAGTCCTGCATCTGGCTGCCCGCTTCGGCCACCCTGAGCTGGTGGACTGGCTGCTGCGTCATGGCGGTGGGGACCCCACCGTGGCCACAGATATGGGCGCTCTGCCTATCCACTATGACGCCGCCAAAGGAGACTTCCCCTCCCTGAGGCTTCTCGTCAGTCACTACCCTGAGTAAGGACAGGCCCTCTGACGTGGGCCCTGGGTGGGGTGGACTGGGGCTCTGAGGAACACATGGGGTCTGCCATGCCTCTCTAGCATCCCAGGGGAGTGACCCTCCAGTGGCTATCCTGGCGGCCATAGGTCCAGACAGCTCCTACCCAAGTTTAAATTCCTCTCGCCACCAGCCATATGCTCCCAAGTC